TAACTTGGAGCCCAAAGACTCAAGAACCAGCTCTTCTCTTTGTGGTGCAGTGCAGTGACTGCACAGATGTGCTCAGGAGGTGGCAGTGCTTTAGAGAAGGTTCCTGACCTTCCTAGAGAAGGTTCCTAACCTTACTTCCCAGGGCACAAGTGAAACACATCCTCAAGTCATATGGCAGAGCTTTTTTTCTTTTTTTTTATTTTATTTTCCCAATAGACCTATTTTGGGAAAATGGGCTAAAGAGTCCTAGATTAGCTTTAGTATTTTGGACACCAGTCCTACTTTTGTGTGTGCACCCAGATGAATTTATCTTAAAGTTTGGATACAAATGCAGTACCTGGAGCTTTAAAAGCACTGGGTAAATAACAGCCTGTCTGAACAGCTCCCAGGAATAAAGGACTTGGAGCTGGCAAAGGAACGCTGCTGTCTGGAATCTGGAGCCAGACACATTCAGAGTAGAAATCAAGTACAAATTTGTAATGGAGAGGGTGATTAATCACCAGGATGAACTAGAGCTGGATGGATGGATCATTGGTCTCTTGCTGATTTTGAGGCAGGATGTCCTCTGGACAGAAGTTATGCCAGGTGACTGTTTTACTTCAGTGTAAGAGAAGCCCATGGAATCCAGAATCATTTAGATTGGAAAAGACCTCCAAGATCACCCAACTGGAATGAGTCCAACCTGTGAGTGATCCCCACCAGAGCACTGAGTGCCACGTCCAATCGTTTCTTGGTCACCTCCAGGGTTGGGGACACCACCACCACCCTGGGCAACCCCTTCCAGTGCCTGACCACCCTTTCCATGAAGGAATTCCTCCTCATGTCCAACCTGAACCTCCCCTGGCACATGTTTATAGACACATGTGTACACACACGTGAACACCCCTGCACAGAGCCCACCCAGAGGACCTGGCAGTTCCTACAGACCTTGAGCTGCACGTGCAGTAGAAAACTTGAACTTTGAATTATATTTTTTTTTGCCATTTCTAGGAGAGGATTGGTTTGTAATTCTGCATGAGTCGGGAATCTGGCCTTTACTTCGAGTTCAGCAGTAGTAGAACTTCATTCTTTGGGCTTAATTTCTTCGCCATCCAACGCATCAGGTTTGTCAGCAAGGCTGGAACTTGGGGGTTCTGCATTTCTGGTATGACAATTGTAGTGGTGGGCCCATGTCCTCAGGGAGATTCCATGTTCAGCCACTGATCCTGCCCTGTGTGGCTTTAAGCCAAGAATTCAGCCCCTCTCTTCATGTTTTCCTTATGTCAAAATGATGATGTTTGTCTTCCCCAAGGACAAAAGCTTAAGAACTTACCAAGGAAGGTATTAGTGAAATACAAAGTGATGGCTTTTTTTTTTTTTTTTTTTTTTTACTAGGTGAGTCACTCAGAAATTAAAAGAGAAAATGAATTTCTCTTCCAAATAAGTGATATCAGCCTCATCTTTACCAAGTGACTTTCTCCTTGCTTCTGCAGGGCGTTGTGGATCAGGGTGAACTCTACTTCAAAACATTTAATTGCACACAGTGAGAAATGAAGAAAACTGAAGTGGATCCCAAGAATGTATTAAAAAAATCAGAACTAAAATGAGAATGATTTCATGTCAAGTGAGACAAATGCAGAGTTGATACTCCAGTGCTTCACACTTCCACTTGTCCTTGGCACTGAGAAAATGAGATTTTTAATATCTGAAAAACAGATTGCCATGAGGACTCATCCATTGTCAATTTAAGCTGCCTTTATAGCAAACTTAAGCTGGGGACAAGATTGTTCGTTACATCTGATTCTACAACTGCAGCCACGATTTCCATATTAATAGTGACTTCTTTTTTTTTTTTTATTATTGTCTGTACCAGCCATAGAAGAGGGGAGCTGGTTGTGTTTTCCCTGTGTTAGCAGATCATTTATTTAATGAATAATTCGAAGAGGGCAAAGGTCTGTGAGCTCTTACCTGCCTATCACTACAGCCAGTGGTGACACCTGCCTTTGCTGCTGTCTCAGAGAGGGTTTGGTGCTTTGGTTTGTGCTAAAAGGGAAAAAGGGATGTTGAGTCGTGGTTTCGGGGTCATGATTTGTTGGCAACTGAGGTGATGTTGGTTGGGATTGAATTTTTTTTTGCTAAAATTACAGGTGAGGGGTTGGTTGTTTCCTGTCTGAGGTGCCCTTAAATGACAAAAACATTTCAGCTTCAGACTTGACGCGTGTCTGGGGGTGGGGAAGGTGTTTCTGTGCCCCTGAACTTTGGACCAACGTGGAGTCAAAGACTGTTTGTGCCCCTTTTCAGCAGCAGCCACTCTGTGCTGGCAGCAGCCTTAGGAAGCACCAGCTTCCTCCCCTTTCTCTGGAACTCCATTTGCTGTCAGAGCTGAGGATTCCCTGTCCTTGCTTGGTGCTTGGCTCAGTCTGGGACAGTTTGGGATTGCATTCTGAATGCAATAAAAACCAACTCAGCCTTTAACATAGCAAAACCAGATCTTTTTCCTATTTTCCCATGAACTCTGCTGAAATCCCACCACCCTCTGTCTGCACTCACAGATCTGGAGTCTCTTGGAAAAGCTCCTCTTCCTCCACTGTTCACATCCCAAATTTGGTCTAGATCCTAATGGCTCTTCACTTACATTTGAGGTCCATATCATTTTTTTTCCTCTTCCATTACTATCACTAATATCACCCTCCTGCCTTTGTCATCTGAAAAACTGAGTTACTGCAGCCTTTTCTTTGCCTCTGTTATCTCATCTCCTCATGTTCCAGTTTTAATCCTGCGTTTCACGATGATGGAAAGTGATCTTTCCTTTCTGGGTTTCCTTCTTTGCTTCTTCCACACTCCTAACCCTGGAAGCAAATCCTTCTGTGACGAATTCAGTTCTCTATCATTAGCCTCTCTGACCTTCAGAAAGTTTGTATATATTTAAGTCTAATTTGTTCCTCTTTGGAAAACAAACCAGCTCTCTGTATTAAAATTTGGCAAGAAGTCAACAGCATGATCTCATATTTTTTTGTGACTGCCTCGGGGAACATGTTTAAAATGCACTTAAGAGATATAACAGGGGAGGGGTTTGGTGTAGAAGTCTTTTTAAAAGGTTTGGGGTGGGTGACTGTGAGGGACCTGGGGGTTTGTCCCTGCCATCCATCAGTGGTTTAGTGCCACCATTTCGCTCCCAGGCCACAGGACGTGACCTGTCACGGTCTGCCGGGACCGCTCTTCATGTCTGTAACCTCTCTCTGGGTGACCTCCTTTCCTGGAGAGGAAGAGGCAGCTCCATGTGGGCCAAATGACTTGTTTTGGAAGTGGCAGCAGCCAGCTCTGAGCAGCTCCCCTCCCTGGGAACACCCAGCTTTCCTTGGCCGTGTCTGGGTGGGAGAAGGCAATTTTGGACAGGCTGGAACCTCCCAGGAAAGCTGGTGGCCAAAGCCGAGTGCTGCTGCCCCTGGGAATGCTCAGCCAGCCCAGCCTTTTGTCCTGAGAGTTCAGGAGTTTTTTCATGAGGGGAAAAGAAAGGAAAAACGATAAAACACAGGTACTACCATCCTTGGAGAGGTTTAAAAGCTGTGTGGATGTGGCACTTGGGGACATGGGTTAGTGGTGGCCTTGGCAGTGATGGGGGGGATGGTTGGACTCGATCTCAAGGGAGGTGATTCTCCCCCTCTACTCTGCTTTTTTGAGACCCCACCTGCAGAGCTGCCTCCAGCTCTGGGGCCCTCAGTACAGGAAGGACATGGAGCTGCTGGAGTGGGTCCAGAGGAGGTCACAGGTGCTCCAAGGGCTGGACCCCCTCTGCTCTGGAGCCAGGCTGGGAGAGCTGAGGGAGTTCACCTGGAGAAGAGAAGGATCCAGGGAGACCTCAGAGCCCCTTCCAGTGCCTAAAGGGGCTCCAGGAGAGCTGGAGAGGGACTTGGGACAAGGAACTGGAGGGACAGGACACAGGGAATGGCTTCCTACTGCCAGAGGGCAGGGGTAGATGGGATATTGGGAAGGAATTGTTGACTGTGAGGGTGTTGAGGCCCTGGCACAGGTTTCCCAGACAAGCTGTGACTGCCCCTGGATCCCTGGAAGTGTCCAAGGCCAGGTTGGATGGGGCTTGAAGCAACCTGGAATAGTGGAAGGTGTCCCTGCCCCTGGCAGAGGGTTGGAACAAAGGGTTCTTTAAGGATCCTTCCAACCCAAACCATTCTGAGATTCCATGATCTTAGGGGGCTTTTCCAACCTAAACAATTCTGTGGTTCTGTGGTCTGTGTATGCCCAGTGGACTCCATCTGGGATAGGTGCAGTTCTTCCCAAAGCCTCCAGCAGATGTGATAAAAGAGTCATTCTGTAGTATCTGGACCAGCTTTAAACACTTGGAAGAGGCAAGATGTGTCCATCCATGATTGCTACCCCTGGATAGCAATCCATGATTGCTAATATTGGACATCTCTTTATGGAGCAGAGGAAATCATCCCGTTGCAAATCCATGTGCTGCTCTATCCACTTGTTTTCTCTCCTACCTCACCCATAGCCTGAAGTGTAAATATTGTCCCTAGTTCTTTCTACATATCCCTGGATAGAACATCCTGCCTTTTCTCTTTCCCTTTGGTTAATAGTTTGACTTTTGGAGCACTTTCAGTCCATGTTAGTTTGTGGAGAAAAACATGAGCAGTAATAGCTAAAGAAAACTCTTAGGTCATTCCTCCTCAGAACACAGTACCTGTCTCTGAGCTCTCTGAGGATGTTGGCCAAATAATCCTTTTAATAGCTTTTGTGAGTTAAAAGGGTAGGTAACTGTCATAAGGCTAAATGATTGCATAGATTAATTTACTTGTGGCCGAAAGAAATCAATTGTAATTTAAATTTTTGTCTCTGGACTGATGACACCACCAGACTTTCTCCTGAGGAATGTACCACGTGCACTGAAGTCTGTGAGTCTCTGTGGGTCTGGAATAGTGACAGGTTATCCAGAATAATGGGATTGAGTCTCTTTGCCTTTCACAGACATCTCTAATTTGTCTTTTCCTTGTGTCTTACAGAATGGTGAATAACACTGAAGACCCTCAAGAGGCTTTATAACGTCCCATCCCCATGTAAAGTATGCTCAGAACTTTTCCAGTAGTGTAAGTACAAGCTGAAGAAGCCCAGAACAATTAAGATCATTTGATGGTATTTTTTTCTGTTAATTTGTCTAAAAAGAGCAGAGAAATGGTTACAATGATTATGAGCAATTGGCTGGAGAGTTCCACTCCTTTGGTGGAACAGTTAAACCAGGGAATAGTAAAATAACCAGACATTTAAATCAGGGAATAGTAACTTTTAATTGCTCACTTGATCTGGCTGATGTATTGTTTCTATTTCTACTTTTCTGTCTCTGAAAGAGAAAGAAAATCATGCAATTCTTTGAAACTTGGCCTTGATCAGAGAAAAATTAGTGTTAAAAGAGAGATCTTCATACATCTACTGAACATACTGGAGAGATACTAAAGGGATACCTGAGCTGGACAAGAGTTTAGCACCACTCCACACTTGGCAAAAGGGATGAGAACACCATCATAATTCAGTGTTATATGGCAAAGGCAGAAAACCTGGGGCACCTCACCTCACCTTAGAATTGGATGGGCTATTCCAAGCAGTGTCTTGAATCCCAGGTGGAATTGAAGTTGTCCAAATCTCATCCTTGAAGCCTGTCAATTTTTTTATTTTTTAAATCACTTCTGTCATCAATCTTCAGTGTAATTGGTCTCCATTCTGTTTCTTCAGTAAATAAGCAAATGGATTCAATTGTTGAAGCTGAAAGGCTGAAAGGAAAGGCTTGACCTGTCCCTGTGCTGTCCCTCAGCTCCCACTGGCCAGTTCTGGTTCGCTGTTCCCAGTGTCCCTCTTGTTGGCACGACCAAATGCTCGTCCCCAGCAATCAGATTCCTGAGATACTTTGACCTCTTGGCTTTGGATTGTTCCTTCTGTCAGACTGAGCTGGGAAGAGAAACCAGGTCTGCAGAATAGGTGGGAAGGGACTGGGCTGCTGTGAATGCAGCCACATTTTCCCAGATGGATTATTTCAAGGATGAAGATTTATCCTTGTCATAGTGCAAGTGGCAGTGCAGTCACAGGCTTCTGTAGAGGGAGGCACAGCAAAAATAAGACTGCCAGGGATTTTTTGTTGGAAACCAAACTCCAATGGATTTCAAAAAGACTTCTTGATACAGCCCTTAATTAGTTATTTTCTGTTGCTGGTGGCTTTAGTCTTCTGTTCAAAACTAGTGGTTTCCTGCTTTGTTGCCAGTCCCTTGAGCTGGAAATGTGTTGGATTTCAGTATTAAAATCACCACTTGAAATTGTAAAAATCTAATTCACAGCAGGAGAGGATTCAGGAGGTAAGGCCACGTTGCCTTGTGCATCCTCATTGTTCTGGTAATCCAGAGTTTGCAGAGGGATCTCAGATCACTTTGTGTGAGCACAGGGACAGTCTGACAGCTTTGACTTTGTGTCAGGCTTTCACCATAAATTTCCCAAGTGGTGAGTTTGCTGTGCTTTGATTTCAGTCCTGTTCTGCCCCTGTGCAGTTTTCTGCCCTGTTCATCAGCTGCCACCTCCCAGCAGAGCAACAGCAGCACCTTTTATTTATTCCAGTGTATGTGCAGTTAATAATGCGGTGGAAGTAGAGGTGAACAATTTTTGACTGAGGGGAAACCAGGATGAACCTATTTGGAGGGGATTAGAGAGTATTAAATTAGAGCAAATGGGCCAAGATGACCCATTAAGGTATAAAATTTCCAGATTAGATCATAGATATCTTTAAAAAAAGGGTAAGTGGGATCGAGAAGTGGAAAGAAAAAAATGGAGCCTTAAAAAAAATTTAAAAGTTTGAACTTAAATTCTGAATAAGGTAAAGATTGAACAGTTAAAACTACTGGTAAGGGAGGTAAGGGAGGAGTTGGGTTATCCCTACACACAGAACAGCCAAGTAGGAACCTGGCTGCAGTTACTATTTCTCCTGCCTAATTTTTGTCCACAGCTGGATGAGAGTCAGTACTTGAGAGGAGTTTGGGCATAGTGTGAGCACAGAACTCTTGATTTTGGTCTCACAAGAATTTGTCATTTATCTGAAACTAAGCCCTGTAGCCAACGCAAGTTTCTCTCTCTTGGGTTCTCCATAAATATAATGGGAGTAATTTTTTGTGCTTCGTGGGCTCATGGCAGTACTGAGTCATTAAGATGTGTTAGGAGTGAGCTGTGACCATCAGGATGTTTTGCATCCCTCAAAATACGAGTTCTGAGGGAACCAGGCAGTTGCAACGTCGTCACCTGAAGTTTACCTGAATTATCAGGCTGGTGCTTGTGAATCTTAATTGCCAGCAATGACAGGGCTGTCTGGGGAGTGAATAAAAGCCTTCAGAGTGGGAAGAGAATCAGAGTGAGTAATGCAGATGGAAAAGGACTGGGTTGAAGCCTTGTCATCATTTAGGGAAAACAACAGAAGGAGAAAAACCGAGGATGTGGATGCTCCCAAGCCAGGGCACGCTGAAGGGCAGGCACTGGAGTTACAGTGGCTTAGAAAACAAAATCACAGGTTGAGCTGTAACTGTCCAGTGCCCTTGAAATGTGGCACAAACCACGTTAATTAAACTTGGGAGAAAGAGGACTCAGCTCATTTTCTCTTTTTGTCTTGCTTGAAAAGGTATCCTGTAAATAGTTGGTGGCTGTAGGAATATTCAGTTGGCTTTTTAAGCTTCCTTAGCTGAAACAATGCCCTGCCTGAGCCTGTGGTTTTACTTTAGGATAAACCAGATGAGTTAATTCATGATTTCACAGCCACTCTGAAAGGGTCCTTAAAAAAAAATAAAAAAATCTTATTGAACGGAAAAATTTCTTCCCCAAAATTTCTTCCAGTGATGGATTCCCCTCCCTGGAGGGATTTAAAAGCCCTGTGGATGTGGCAATTGGGGACGTGGGTCAGTGGTGGCCATGGCTGTGTAGGATGTAGATGGGTCTTCTCTATGTCATGCAAGGGGAAATTTCCCTAGTTCAGGTCTGGACAACACAAAAAATTGTTGCTTTAAGAGCATTAATTAGGACATTTGTTTCTTTCTGAAGTGCTTTTAACTAAAATAAAACTCTAATATGGAGGCAGCTGTGGCCAAAAGCCCATGTTTTTGCCATTATGATTTCTATTCTTCAAGGAGACACCGTTATCTATTCCTGAGTTGTTCTCCAAGTGGAGTCTCTGTCCTCATTAAGGCTGTGCCAGTGAAACTACACTTGCAAACTGTTTTTCTAGTGGAAAATTATTTGCTTTGTAGTTAAGCACAAAATCAGGAGTAGGTGAGGTTCAGCTGTTTGCTGGGTTTCCATTTTAGTTTTCTGAAACAAGAAATTTCTCTTTTAAGGAAGTGTTTTGGTTGTTCCTGCTGGAGATGGATCCTGAGGGAGAATGAAGGGGCCTGAAATACTTCAGGATATCTCTTTTCCTTCCTATGTGGAAGAGGTGATGGAAATCCTGGTGATGGCCTTGCTTGAAACTTGTCCTACACCTTGTCGTGTCTGGTGCTGTAGATGGATCCTGTAGGATGGCTTTGAAAAAACACTCAGAGTTTGGCCAGACACTGGCTCTACCTTCTTGCAGAATTCCTGTGGGACTTTGAACAAGTCATTTGGACTTGTCTGAAGTCCAGCCCCTCTCTGGGAGCTCTTGGTTGCAAAAATTAGTGTAGTTTTACTTCTCTGCCTCGCAGGGATCTTCTGCAGGAAGATGTGTTTTAAGTATTTAGATACTCCAGCTGGCAGAGTTAATGGAGAAGAGTTTGGAGATCCTGTCTGGATTTTAGTAAAGGATTGGTCAAGTTTTAAGTGAAGTGAAGGAGGCAGAACACAGCACTACGCCTGTGATCTTGACAGCTGAAAATATGTGACTTATCAAACAGTCCTGGAATGGTTTGGGTGGGAAGGGACCTTCAAGCTCATCTCATTCCATCCCCTGCCATGGGCAGGGACACCTTGCACTAGACCAGGTTGCTCCAAAACTCATCCAGCCTGGCCTGGAACACTTCCAGAAGTGGGGCCAGTCTGGTGTTTAGGTCAGGCCCACATTTCAGTTTTATTGTCCTTGACTCTTTGTGTTTTTTCACGTGGGTTAAAGGCAGTATTTCAGTGTGTTGGTGAGATTTGCTGTAATTCAAGCACACAAGTCCTGCCCTGATTCTGTTACAGAGCTGATATATCCAAAGTTTAGTCTTTGGCTCCCGAATCCAAGAGCTCCTCCTTGCTCTTGGCACAGGTTTGGGCTTTGGGCCCTGGTTCAGCACTCAGCTGCCACCACAGCTTTTCTCTCTGTTTGTTAGTCCTTCTGATCCCTCAATCTGCCCTTGAATCCAGCCTCAGAGTTTGAATTCCTGCCTTGTTGCTGTAGAATTGCAACAATAGCAGGAAACCCAGATTTTGGAAGTGGGGAAGGTTAGGGTTAGACAGATAAGGTGTCAGTGTGAATCAGTCTGTGCCTCGAGAAGAATTCAGAAGTGTCTGGCTGCAAGCCCTGTGCTTAGTCAGAGGTCAGTCCCTTTTGTAAGACTTGGATTATGATGATAATTGGCATTTATATTGTATTTTTGCCTTGTAAGATCAATCTCAAGTTCTCTCTCTCTTTCCCAAAGATGTAGAGCAGAGTGAGTTACTCACCCGAGCGGAATCAGCGGCAAAACCGCTGGGGTTTGCTCACTGTCAGTAAAAAAACCTTATCAGCAGAGAATTTCAGAGACTGGGGTGGGGAAGAACAGCTTGTGTAGAAGTGGTGACTGTGGGTTTGGGGCTCTTTAACCGGCTGAGGATCTCAGAGCCTCCTGGAGGAATGATATGTTGATATTCCGCTCCCAGCTCTGCCTCCCCTAATTTGTGGAGCGGGGAGTGTTTGATTACGCCGGATTTATTTTCAGAAGTTTCAGGCTGCTCTTATTAATTGTCCCCGTTCTGCTGGAAAGCGAGTGGCAGAGCTCTGCATTCCCGAGCCGGTGTTTTGCATTCCTAAACAGACCCTGTGACGCTGAACCTCCACGGATCAGCTTGGAGCCTGATTTCCCTCCTCGCTGCAGCGCGAGGCTTTCATTTCCCTGGGATGAGAGCAGTCATT